GCAAACCGCGATCAAGAGAGAGCCCACTCTGACCATCTCTGGCTTCTGCTTCCCAGTTCTAAAGGAGGTGGGCTTGGGGAAGAGGGGCAAGCCAGTAGGTAGGTAGGTAGGTAGGTAGGTGCTGTGAAAGTTCAGCTGCCCTGAGTGCTGGGTGTTGGCCACAGCCTTCTTTCCTCACTCTCCTCTTCCAGCCAAGCTAATCTCATCAGCCGATCGGAACAGGGCAGATTAATGTTTATATTTAAACCCAGTGTCGTCCCCCTCCCTCCCTGGCCCCCACCAACCCCTGGTGGGTTGAAGGAGACGGCTATGCCGGTAAGGTTAGGGGTGGGGAAGGAGACGAGGCAGGGTTCGGTTAAGCCAAGAGACCTCATTCCTGCCCCTTTTGGTCCCTGCAGTGCTTTGGGAAAGAAGGGAAGTTGGAATTCTAGTGATTGCACACACCCACACCCAAACACACCCACATACACACACCCACACACACACTGAGAAGAAGTGGAGAAGTCTTGTGGTTAGAATGGGCCTTGTTGGATTTAGTCCCAGAGGTGGGTGGGTGCCACTGGCACATGCCACCTTGGGCACCGAAATGTTTCGGGTCGTCCTCCCCCCCTCCCCAAGACTTCAGCTTCCTCCTTTGCTCTTGATCCACCCCTTGATTTTGGACTGGATCCCTCTTCCTGCCCTGGGTCTTTAATCCAATGGGTGCCGCATGGGATTGGCTCTTCCACCAAAATCCCTCCCACCCGCCCGCCCGGCAGTCACTACTTAGCTCTTCAATCCCATTAAGACGATTGAAGGAGGGTTTATTCTGTGCCTCCTTTGCAGTACAGTACCTTCCTCGCCTTTCTGCAGAGTCCCAGCATGGAAGAGCTCTCTCCTGTCAGGAAGGGGCCTGAGGCCCAAAGGCCCCCAGGGATCCCTGGGGATGCAAAGCTGCTGGCCCTGGCTGAGTTGTGGGAGGCTGACCTCTGGCACCCCAGAGGCCTGGAGTCCATCTTGGGGGAACGTGACATGGTAGGGTGGATTGCCGTTGCTCCTCACAAGCTCCTTTCCCTCTTTTTTCCCCCCAATCCCACAGCCTGCCTTAAGTGACCCATCATCCCTCTTGACCCATGCTTCTCGTTCTGCCATCTCCTCCTCTTGCTTCTCTGACTGTGGTGTTTGGGAGCCAGAGCTTGGAGGCAGTAGCTCTAGGGCCAAGCTGAGCTGCCGTTCTCCGGACAGGGTGGGGGGTTTGAGGTGAAGAGGGAGGAAAGGATTTTCCCCAACAACAATATATACTGCTCTAAACAATCCTGTATTCAGTCAAGTTGTTCTGGGGTGGTTTGGCACTGAATGGGCAATTCAGACCCATTGACTTTATGGGAAATGTACTCCTGGTGGAGAGCAAACTGGCTAGAACTGGCTGGATGATACAGATCAACAGAACTGTCTACATTTCTAGACTCTCTTCTTGGGGATGTGTCCACGAGAACGCTTGTAGTGAGTGGCTGCACTTCAGAACCAGCCACTCCATTTCTCCTTTTTAAGTAACAGGCTCTGTTCCTCTTCTGTAGCCGAGGATCAAATTGGACGCATTGCTTTTTTTTCCTTATTCTCATCCTCCATCCAGCAGGTCAGGACGTTTATGGAATCCATGAATCGGCACAGAATGAGTTCTGCAGTTGTTGATATGTCACTTTGTGAGAAATGAGCCATCTCAGAGTGTGGACTTGTTAAGTTTCATAGTCACACACACACACACACACACACACACAGAGAGAGAGAGAGAGAGAGAGAGACATAACTTTTCACCACCAACTGCCCCTGAAAGGAACCAGGGCTGCGCTATCTGCCTCTCATTGCCTCATCTGTCTCTATGCTAATTATCTTTTTCACATAAAACATCCTGCAGAGAGTTTGAACAAATGTTCTGTTATATTTGATATTTCTCTCAGCATAGCTCTTCCTACTCCCATTTCTATCTACCAAACAGCCCTGTGGGGGCCATTTATCTGAGAGAAGCTACCCCAAGTCACCCATGGTTATGAGTGGGATGGAATTTCAATCTGGCTCTTCCTTCCTTCCTTCCTTCCTTCTTTCTTCCTTCCTTCCTTCCTTTTGCAAAGGTTATTGGGTTTTTTTTTTAATATGAGAAATTTTATCTTCAAGGGTGCTTTGCCTGTATGATTGTTCTGGGATTTTTTTCCCTTCCCACAGTTCCATTTCATTTACCATCTCATGATGATAAAGCCTCTCAAGATTTGCTTTTCATCTTTTTGTAACCAGTTGTGCCTACTGTCCTTCGAAAAAGCATTTTGACTAAAACCACTCCAGAGAAGAGGAAGAATGTATATAAAAAGGAAGCCCCCTGAAGATTGGCACTGGAAATATAAGGCTTAGATTTTAACACTGCCTGGGTGTGGGTTTGTTGACCCTGCTCTCTGTTGTCTACATAAACACAACCCAAAGTGATTGGGGCATTGGTGCCAAGGTTTAGACTACATTGGCATCACCCATGCTGTATGCGTGTGGGTGTGTGATGTCTCCTCCATAGTCTTGATTTAATACCATGTGAGTCCTTGAGTTCTGGAATGTTTTCATTTTTAAACTCCAACTGCCCTTGAATAGGATCCGTAGCAGGTTGTCAGTTGGCATAGCAAAGGCTTGGGTGACTTACTGGCTGTGAGTTACACCCACCATTTTAGTCTAGGAAGGGAGCTGTAGCTGATCTATGATTAAAATTATTGAAAGTGAGGAGGGAGTTGAGTATCACAGCAAGGATTTGGAGAAATGCCAAGAGGTAGAGCGAAAAATGGAAATACTTAGATCTAAGCAATACATTGCATTTAAAATTATTTCAGTTTGCCAAATAAATTTAGGAAAATAAAATGTCAAGAGTTCCGTCTGTAACACTGAAAGTCTGGAGCAACTTTTTTAATGATTTGTATTCTCGAAGGCTTTTCCGGCCGGGATCTGATGGCTGTTGTAGGTTTTTCGGGCTGTCTGGCCGTGTTCTTGAGGTTTTTCTTCCTAAAGTTTTGCCAGTCTCTGTGTCCGGCACCTCAGAGGACAGGAGTCAGAACTCTGTCTGTGCTCTGGTGCAGTTTTTTGGGGGTATAGTTGAGTATTTATAGCTGGGGGATCAGCTTTTTGTCCTTTTCAGGAGATTGGGTGAATATAGTGATCAGTGTGTGGTTGTTGTTGTTGTTGTTGTTGTTGTTGTGGGTGTATTGTTGTGATAAGGGTGACAGATGATCTGTCACTGTGATTGATGGGTGTTGTTAGCTTGTCTTTTGTGTGCAGTGATCATCGGTCCTTGTGGCTGGATAGAGTTTGTTGATTTTTTGCAGACTGTATTTTTCAGTACTGGGAGCCAGGCTTTGTTGAGATTTAGACTTCTTTTTTGTTGAAGCTCTGGATTTCAGTGGCTTCCCTGTGCTGTCTAATATAATGACTTCTGGAGTTGTCCAGTACTTCTGTGATTTGAAATAGAATTTCATATCCAGCTTATTTTAGGGCATGTCCAGCTTATTTTAGGGCATATTCAGCTACTGCAAATTTTCCTGGTTGTTTTAGTCTGCATTGTCTCTCATGTTCTTTGATTCTGGTGTGGATGCTGCATTTTATGGTTCCAATATAAACCTGGCCACAACTGCAAGATATCCAGTATACTCTTGCAGTGGAGAGGGGGTCCTTTTTGTCCTTTGCTGACCATAACATTTGTTGTATTTTTGTGGTGGACCTGAATACTGTTTGTAGGTTGTGTTTTTTCAAAAGCTTCCCCATGCGATCCGTGACCCCTTTGATGTATGGCAGAAATACTTTATTTGTGAATGGCTGTTTTTCCTCTTCAGTTTGGGGTTGTTTTCTTGGTTTGATGGTTCTTATCATTTCATTCTTGAAATAGCCATTTGCCTATAGGTCCCAATTCAGATGGCTGAGTTCAGTGCTGAGAAATTGAGCTTCACAGTTCCGATTTGCACGGTCTACCAGTGTTTTGATTATGCCTCTTTTTTTTGTCCTGGGTAGTGGTTGGAGTTGTTTATGATTGTTCTTACTGAGTGGCTGTGCAGAAAGAGTAATCTCTGATTAAGTCTAGCCAAGGTCTCACCCTGTTTAGTACCAACATACATAGATAGGATGTACCTGTTTTTTTAATTGCATTTGCCTATCATTACAATTCTGTTGCACAGTCTTCTCTTAAAAATCTGAAAGAAAGAAGGAAATTTTAAGCTGTTAAACCATTTTAGACTGTGTATGAATGTATTAGGTTGCCTTTTACTACGTCAGGGGACCTGCCCTTCCAGTCCAATAGGTCTGGGAACCTTCTTGCTCATTTATCAGAGGTTGGTCCTGAATGTATGCCCCGAGGCCCTTCCTTGGCAGCAGGTCCGTGAAGAGATGCCAACCAGTCTGTTCTGTAAAAAGAAAGGAAAGAACTTAATCACGATGCTCAAGATATACTGTATGTTTCCTATGAAAATACAATAAAATTCAACCTGTGATGAAATTTGACATTATGGGACTTTGACAATATTTGCAAATTTGTTTTGATTCATCCTGCGAGCTTCCCTGAACCAAATGCAAGGGGGGAGTGGGTGGCTGCTCTTTCCGTTTCCTAATGAGACCACGTTCCTTGGCAGGTCCTAGACATTGGTGAGTGCCTCACTGTCCCAGACGAGTTCTCCGAGAAAGAGAAGAAAACGGGGATGTGGTGGAAACAACTGATCGCTGGAGCGATGGCTGGGGCTGTCTCAAGGACCGGAACTGCCCCCTTGGACCGGCTGAAAGTTTTCATGCAGGTAAAGGCTGCCAAGTATTGTGCAGGGCGGGCAGGAAGGGGGTGTGGGGATTTGTTGTGCGGTGATGTCACGAGGGTGGCACTAGTTTTTTGCGTGGGAGCAATGATGCAGTAAAAGGGGCCTTTATTTTATCTCCCTGTATGCCAATTTGTGGGCACTGTGGACTATAGGTGAAGACTACAGAAAAAAAGAAGGCTGTCTTACCTAACATGAAAGGACGAAAGCAAATTCCTGGCACATTATCAAGAAAATTAACAACTAGGGTAGCCTGCCCAGTGTGTTGGACTATAATTCCCAGACAACTCCACCTGTGGCCTGCCAGCTAAGAATGATAGGCACCATAGTCTGACAAATCCTGAAAGCACCACACTCAAGTAGGCTGATGTGGAAGCAGTGATTTATTCTTCGAGACATAAACCAGAGTAGGTTTGTGCTCCTTAAACTGATATTCACATCATAGAGGAGAAGCTGCTGCTGACAAGCTTGGCTTACAACAGAACCATACAGTTTGCTGGAAATCAGAGGGAAATATTTTCCTAGAAAAGATTTTCCTATGCTGATTCATAATTCTCCCATTTAACATTGTCTAGAATCCTGTTGTTTACGTACTGTGGCATAAGTGCAACAGCATAAATAGCAGCAGTGCATTGCCACCAATTAAGGAGTCACTGTTGTATTCCCTGTCACATGCCAGGTGTGTGACTTGATGTGCAACAAGAACTGTTACATAGCTCAGGGGTTTAGGTCTCTGGCTGTGGAGCCAGAGGTTGGGAGTTCAGTTCCCGACTGTGCTTCCTTGACAGAGGCTGGACTTGATGATCCATAGGGTTCCCTCCAGCTCTTCAGTTCTCAGATTAATACAAGCACTGACTCCTTAACCAGAGGCAGTTGGCCATTGTCCTAGTATATGTAAACAACAAGATTCTGGACATTGCCTCTTTTGAGTCCTGAAAGAGTTTCACTGTTAAACCTGGAAGAGCTTTTGTAAGGTTGCAGAGGATACTGGATAGCAGACAGTAAAGCTGTGCTTGCTTGTACCATCAAGCCAACCCCTGCTCATGGGAGAGAACGGGACACTCTCTCTTTGCTAGCCAATTGACACTGACACTGTGATTCCTGCTTGCTGCAGGTTCATGCCTCGAAGAGCAACAACATGAATGTGCTAGGGGGATTACAGGGCATGATACGTGAAGGAGGCCTTCGCTCACTGTGGCGGGGCAATGGCATCAATGTGCTGAAGATTGCCCCTGAGTCTGCCATCAAGTTCATGGCCTATGAACAGGTAACTATGGGAAGAAAGTGGATGTTGCAGCTTTGCATGGTCATGCCTGTACATGTGCGTGTGTCAGCTTTTTTCAAATAGTGTTTCGCTGGAGACAGAAGAATCACTTTGCATTTCCCATCACGGTGATGCTGGCCTCACCTTTGGGCATGTCTTTACTCCAAACCTAGCAGTTCAAAAGCATGCAAATGCAAGTAGATAATAGGTACCACCTCGGTGGGAAGGTAACGGCATTCCATGTCTAGTCGAGCTGGCCACGTGACCACAGGAACTGTCTACAGACAAACGCTGGCTCTATGGCTTGGAAACGAGGATGAGCACCGACCCCTAGAGTCAAACACGACTGGACTAAACATCAAGGGGAACCTTTACCTTTACCTTACTCCAAAACCAAACCCATAAATGTCACCGCTTCTCTCCATGGAACCTTTGGGGATGCTTAACCCAGAATAAAATTATGAGTATACTCCATGCTCCAAAAAGCATGGCTTTTAGGACTAGGTAACTAATTTGTCAGTCTGGTGTAATGGACTAGGACTCAGGAGAACAGGGTTCGAATCCTCACTGGGCCATGGAAACTCACTGAGGGAGTGGAACTGGTAAAATTACTCCATAATACATAACTTACCTTGAAAGCCCTACTAGGATCTCTATAAGTTAGTTCTGACTTGACAGCACAAAACATGCACACAACCAATTTGCCTGAATCCTAAATACCAAACCAAAACGTGCCACTTTGAACTGGGTTCAAAGGGGACAGGATTGGTCTGAAGCAGATTTGAGTAGTTTTGAAGTGATATGAACACTGAAATAGAGACAGATCATCTCTCCCAAGTTGCAGAATGGTACTTTATGGGGGAAAGACCAGAACGATGTAAGAGGGAAGGAGGAGGACAGCTAGATTTTGCTCATAGACAGTTCTAGCCAAGAGATCTGTTGACGCTTTTCAGTCCCAGTGCTTGAAGAGGAAACATTTTGTTCACTCAGTTCTGTCATGCCGCTCTTCACAATTTGGACTTTACGTTTTCCTGTCAGTAGCAGATGATTGAAAAAGCTACCGCAAGTGTTTTGGTGGCTGTTGGTTCTCTTGTTTAGTCAGAGTATCTGTCTCTCCGAAATCTTTCTGTCTTGTTCATTGGAACCATTAATTTGAGTCATTAATTCAATTAATAATCTGTTTGCTTTATATGAATATTATTGTATTAGGTTGTGATACCTATTCTTTACTCCTTCCCCACCTTTTTAGCTTCCAGTCTGTGTTGGGCAAGAATCTTACCAGCACTCTTCGATTACAGGAGCTTTGAGAAAAATTAGAATTTGGTGACAGCCTTGCTTTTACCATAGCTTGTGTTTCTCATTTTTTCAGTACATCAGCACTCCTTTACTAATTCTTTCTCAGTCCAGGCCTATCCTTCCTTACTTTCTATATTTATTGTTTATTTGGATAAATCTCTATGCTGCTTTGTTTGTTATTGTAGTATTTTTTTTAAAGGTAGTGGCTTTTCCTGTATTTCCTTTCTACAGCCTTCCACACATTTTGTCCCGTAAGTTATGGTTGATTTCAGTCTCTGTTGCATAGTGTGTTTGTTCCCTTTTTACAAGGTAACTGTTCTGCACAAGCACTATGTGAAAGTCATAGTCACTATCACAGTGTAGAAAACAGGAAAGGGATTAGCACCCTTAGCATTTCAAATCAAATGTTAAAGTTAGATAGGATGCAGAAGCGTCTGAGCCTATCTGTGTGAAACTGGTGAGGAACAATCAGCTCTGAAGATACTATAGCGGAACCAAATTTCATACATTTATATGAAAAGAACATTATAACTCTTTGTATGACACATCACCACCACCACCACCTCTAAAATCCTTGATCTATTTGTCTGGAATTTGGCAGGAGCGATCCCCTCTGAGAAGACTCCTGTATCTCAATTTCAGGCATTTCATTCTCATTTTGAAAAAAAAGTAAAGCCATTTTAATTTCCCAGTGGGAAAGAACAGGAGGTATGAAGATTCAGATACTGTGCCTGACCTTTCCAAACCCTAATTGCAACTCTGCATCCAGAAAGACTAAGATTCTGTAAAAAGTTCATAAAAAGTGGGTCCACCTGTGTCATTTCTGATTTTTTTGTGATTTCTTTTGCAATTATTTGCTACGTTTTCAAGTGCTATGGTAGGTATTTCACACTCAGATGTAAGCCCCACTTTGTTCACTAAGATTTGTTCCCAGCAGTTGCCCATTGGATTATAGCAGTTTTATTCTTGGTTTGTTAAGTCATGTATGGGCAGTGGTGGTAGGAGTATGACCAATGAAAGTCACTGAAACCTTCCCCCTTAATCAAAGGGGATCTTACTTATCTTATCCCTGTGAAATTTTAGTAAGCATTGGCTACGTTGGTTCAAGCTTTCTAGGCATAAAACCTAGAAATTCTTTCCCTTTTAAAATAAAATGAACCAAAAGCTAAAGTTTTTAAGAACCAGGATTTCTGTGCTCCCTGGAAAACATACAGTGATGGAACTGAAACATGGAACTGAAATCTCCACAGTCCCACAACACTTGGTATCAGGGTTCCTGATAGTTAAGGACAATTAAAACAATTCATCTGGCTGGAGACTCAATGATTTGGGTACCCACCTGCAGAGACACATGTTGTGAATTTGATTCCCCAGTAATGTCTCCTACAAGAAGAGCCAACCTTTATAGCCTTGGCCAAGCTGCCCAGCCCTAGAGCACCCCCAAAAGAGGGGAAATGGTAAACCATTTCTGAGTAATCTATGCCCAGAAAACTTGGCCGTAAATCAGAATCAACTTGGCAACACATAATTATTAATTATTATTAAGCCTTGTTTAGCCTTTATTGAAGATTGCAAAAAAAAATCGCATAAATAATTGTTTGCCATTAAACAAAAAAGCTTATGCCAGCTGAAGAAGGAAAGTATAACTGAAAACAAGAACATCCCATTTCTGCAGACACTGTTTCCCTCCTCTTTTCCATCAGTAGTAAAGCAACCCTGTGATCATCCCCTCGTTCACTTGCCAGAGCAAGGCCTGCTGGTGTTTCTGACAAATGACATTGTTGGTCCTGCTCCGAGAAAGGTCCTGGAGCTGCATTCCTCTTGCCCTACAACACTGGGAAGGCAAGCAACCCAAGCAGATCTTGGCTAGTCAGGGAGAAAGACCCTGACACTCGGCTTTCCCCTCCCCCTCTTGGCACCCCAGTTCCAAGCCAGGGTTGGAGAAGCATGGACCGTTTTATCCTTCTGATTTTCTAGGCATGGAAAGCACTATCCAGACTCCTAATCATCTCCCCACCTCCTGAATATCAGTGTTCCTGCCATATCATTTCCAGAAAACAAGCAAATAGGACAGATACCCTGTCAATGTTCTCCCAAAGAGTAACTGCGAAGAGGTAGGCCTGGGATACCTGTGTCTCTCCAGATGCTCTCGAACCCTGGTTCCCAGCAACTCCAGCCAACCTGGCCAATGATGAGGCATGGTGAGATAATTCTTCATCAACATCTGGAGGGATGCAGGTTCCGGTTCCCAGCAACTCCAGCCAACCTGGCCAATGATGAGACGTGGTGAGATTTTTCATCAACATCTGGAGGGATGCAGGTTCCCACCACTGTGTTTAGGTGACTCTCCTTAATAACATCTGGCATCACTTTGCTATAAAGCAGTGGTTCCCCACCTTGGATCCCCAGAGACATCACTTTGCTATAAAGCAGTGGTTTCCCACCTTGGGTCCCCAGAGGTTTTTGGACTACAATTCCCAGAAATCCTGTAACACAGCTTAGTGCTGAAGGCTTCTGGGAGTTTTAGTCCAAGAATACATATCTGGGGACCCAAGGTTGGGACCCACTGCTTTAAAGTATTCTTCCCCTGGTGTGTAGCTATAATGCTGCTCCCCTTGTTCACACTCATTGCCTTTACTCTGCCTGTAAAGGTTTGGGAGGGATCCGTATTCCAAGTGTTTGAAGTCGTTATTTCTCCTTGCAGATCAAGCGGGTGATTCGTGGACAACAGGAGACCCTGAGGGTGCAGGAGAGATTTGTTGCCGGCTCACTGGCTGGTGCCACAGCACAGACCATCATCTATCCTATGGAGGTGAGGTCCATCACTCCGCTGAGATCGTATCCGATCTGGGTGGCAAACCCTCAGGGTCGGCCCTGCCGTGAGACAGAATGAGGCAGTGGCCTCAGATGGTTGATGTGGCAGGGGTGTAAAAGAAAATACTGTATTGGGGATGTGCAGCCTGCCTTCTTTACTCATCCTCCAAGTTGTCCCGCTGCCTTTGGTGCAGTGGAGGATGCCTTGCCACCCCCAGTAATGAAGAAAGATGTTGTCCATACAGGTTTCATGTGTATGTACCAAATAGACAACAATTCATCCTTTGCCTCAGGCAACAAAATGTCAAGCCTTTGGCTAGTTTCAGCCAAGACGTCTACCCAGCCCGCCCACGCCAGGAAAGGAAAGAAAGTATTTGGATGCTGAACACTCTAAGAACAGCCACCCTTAGGTTTTATTTATTTATTTATTTTATTTGTACCCCGCCTATCTGGTCCACCGGACCACTCTTTTAACAGAGGGGGACAACTGTGGCCACAGAAGAAGCAGATTACAAAGGAGGGAGGTCTCTGGGAAGAGGAGTCCATTGGTAGTGCAGGGGGTGATTTTAAAAAAAGCCCTAAGCTAAGGGTGTGGAACAGAGATGAGGATACATAAGCCAGCTTGAGAAGCATGGCATTCCTCAAGCATCCGGGGAACTGTAGTTTCATGAAGGTGCTGATGATTCTCATTTCCTCTGCCTGAGCCCTGCCTCATAAGACTCTAGAACATCTTGAGCAGGGGCAATGGCCTTTCCATCTGTGTAAAGTGAAGCCAAAGCCAGGTGTTGGTGGGGGCCAAAGTGGGCACGGTCACCCTTCCACCTGCTTCCTCTCCCTGTGACGGTCTCCCCCAGTTCCAGAGGAGGGAAAGATGGCCGTTGCCAGAGGCCTGTACTGGGAATGGGCTTTTGGAGCTGGGCTTTCCCCTCAGTCCTTCTGTCATACGTTATATCCTAATTTTCCCTTGGATCCTACTATGTATATCAGGTGCCCAATGAGAGAGGGAATTAGGAGCCTTGGCTCATCCCCTTTTTTCTAACCCCCCCTCCTAGGTTCTGAAGACCCGGCTGACTCTCCGTAAGACGGGCCAATACTCAGGAATGGCCGACTGTGCAAGGAAGATCCTTCAGAAGGAAGGGCTGCGTGCCTTTTATAAGGGCTACCTGCCCAATATGCTGGGCATCATCCCCTACGCTGGCATTGACCTGGCAGTTTATGAGGTCAGTATTTGGCCATGGGTGGGTGCGCGCGGGGGGGCACTTCTCTGCCAGTAGGGCTGAGGATGGGTGCAGCCCTGGCTGTCTCTTTCCTTTGGGGCCCTTTTGAAAGACCTCCCCTCTCTCCCTCCCTCCCATCCCATCCCTTCCAGTCCTGCCCCTTTGCTCCACAGCAAGAGGGAGATCCCCGCTTCCTTCTCCTCTCTCATGATGTTCCCCACCCTACTCCATGCTGAAGGCAGGCCATCCTCTCCCCATCTCTCCTTTCTTTCTCTCCTGCAGACCCTGAAGAACACCTGGCTGCAGAAGTACAGCAAGAACACAGCTGACCCAGGTGTTCTGGTGCTCCTGGGCTGCGGCACTGTCTCCAGCACCTGCGGGCAGATCGCCAGCTACCCGCTAGCCCTGGTGCGGACCCGGATGCAGGCGCAAGGTGAGGTGGCCCTACGGTCTGTCTAAGGGAGGTGCTGAAGGGGGTCTGTGGATCAGGGCATGAATAAAGACCTGGGGGTGGTGGTGGTGGAATTAAGTGGGAAATCCCTGAAAAGACTGGGAATGGGCATGAAGGTAAGAGGAGAAAAGTTGGCATTGTGGGGAGAGAAAAACAGGAGAGGCTGGCAAGATTTAAAAAACAGGGCTGCTTTGTAGGTTCAGAAGGAATGAACTCTGCAATTCCTAATGCTACATATCGGTGGGATCTCAGTTTGGGATGAATATCCATGATTCTACACTCTTTATAGCGTGGTACCGAGTGTGATGTCGTGGGCAGAGTGACGGACTAGGACTCAGGAAGCCTGGGTTCAAATCCCTGCTCAGTCGTGGAAACTCACTGGGGGTGTGGAACTGATGAAACCACTCCTTAAATATCTAATTCACATTGAAAAGCCTATCAGGGTCACTATAAATCAGTTCAACACACAACAAGAACATGCTCTTTTAGTAGAGTCTCCTGGAAAAGAAGGCATAAATCATGAGTAGCTCTGAGAATCCAGGAGCAACTCCCCTTACCTGCTTGGGGTCAAGCAAAGGCCACGCCAGTCCCCAAAAACAGATTTAAAATTTTAAAACTCATTTAAAAAAAAGATAGCACTGCTGCTCAAGAATTTTAGAAAAATTAAATGTTTTGTTAAAATGCTTGACCAGGGTATGTGTGTGTGCTGCAACTTGTTTTAATAAAATCGCCTGCTGTTGTGCTCTGGCTGTCAGTAGCTTGGCACTGTGGTAGGGAACCTTTTGCAGGTCTCATTAGGGTTAGAAAAACATAAATACTGTACTGTCCCTGGAACCTTGACCTTGACCCTGACCTTCGACACCTTGAAACTCTTGTGGGTGTCAGAAAATATCTGACAACTCTCTTTGTGGGAGGTTTTGGGGTTTTGTTTGATTTAATCATTTTTTTAAAAAAAACTTTGGTGCATGAAAGCTAATGCTGCAGCTTTTGTATTTCCAAAATCTCTTGCCATTTTTGCTCTCTTTCGCTCACTCTCTCGCTCTTTTTCCAAACGATGTCACTTCCTCCTCCCCTGCCTCCATATTCTCCCCCCCATTTTCCTGGTGACCAAAAAACCCTCACTCCCATCTCATTCCATCCCACCCCTATCCCTCCCTTGGTAAGGATCGCCAGGATAGTCTCAGAGCCCCAGCCATCAGTGGTTCCCAACCTTGGGCCCTCAAAAGTTCTTGGACTTCAACTCCCAGAAACCCTGGCCAGCACAGCTAGCGGTGAAGGCTTCTGGGAAGTGCAGTCCAAGAACATCTGAGGACCCAAGGTTGAGAACCACGGACTTGACTCATCCCATCATGACGGCAAAGTCCCTGATCTCTGTACCGTTTCTGTTTCTCCCCGCAGCATCCATCGAAGGTGCCCCACAACTCTCCATGCTGGGACTCTTTAGGCACATTATCTCCCGGGAAGGGGTGCTGGGCCTGTACCGTGGCATCGCCCCCAACTTCATGAAGGTGATTCCAGCCGTCAGCATCAGCTATGTCGTGTACGAGAACATGAAGCGGGCTCTGGGGGTCACGTCCAGATGAAGGGGATGCCCAAGCACGTGGGACCTACCTCTCAAGAAGGCCTGCTCCTCCGGAGAGGATGTTCGGAAGGCGCTCGTAGGTGGGGGACGTCCTGCATCCGCTCTGGGGCCTTGGCTGCTGGGAGACGGAGGACTGAAGCGTGTGTAGGCGGATGGGGCCCATGCCATCTTCCTTGTGGCAAGAGCAGGGCATCCGCTCGGCAAGGGGCTCCAGAGGGAGCTGTCTTGTTCACTAACAGCCACATCTCTCCTGAAGAGGGCTGTGGCTGGAAAGTGCCATGGCCCCACTGAGGTGGACCTGTATCCCCCGTGGCTTTGACTACAACTTCATCGAAACAGGATCGCTTCGAAGCCAGTACTCCTCCTCCCCTGCAGCCCGATGCTCTCGGCTCACGTGTCGTCTTCCCTTTTTACAGTCCCAACATCAGAACCATGGCTTGTTCTCTTGCTCTGCACCTTTCGAGCAGCCCCCTCAGAGCCTGGAGGAGAAGCAAGCTTGATCTGTTGCCAGATCTCAGTGAAAAGCTATCAGTGACCACAGCAGGAGATGCTGGGTCACCTCCCCCAATCTAGCAGCCATTTCTCAACACTGTAGACAAAAGCATTCAGGGACTGTCCATCACACTGGAGACCGTCACATTTTCTGTGTTGAGCACTGGGAGGTTGTGGATGCTGGTGGACAGATTATTAACTCCCCCATAGTTCTGGTTGCAAACCTGAATCCATTGGATCAATTTTCTGTTCTTCCTTATTCTGGATTCTGTAAGGGTACCGGAGCCCTATGTGATGATTTCAGCCCAGCCCCATTTTATCTGCCCCAGGATATGGAATGTGTCTGTATATTTTGCACATGGACTACTTTTAATTTATAAGACTTTTTTCTGCACTTTCTACCTGGACCTCTAGGCTAAACCGAAGCCTTTTTGATGGCCACCTCATGTCCCCTTTCCCCCTCCCTTCCAAGGAGGTGGTGAATGCAGCAGGACATGGCAAGGGCTACCGTTTCTGTTGTCCTGATCAATAAACTTGGCCTGAGGTTCCTCGATTTCTTGTATGCCACACCTTTCTGCTGGCTGTGAGATATTTGCACTGTCCCTGCTGGCTGTGTTGCTTCAATGGCTGCCACTCTTCAGGCCCCTTGGAGCTGTGCTTCCTGATTTCTGCCTTGGGTCTTCATTGCACAGAAGAGATGGCCTTTTCTTCATCTATAGCTCTCCGTAGTGTGACTCAGGCTGTGCTATCCTAGGCTGTGCTATCACACTGCATCAAAACTCCCATGCCAAGAAAAATGGTGTCTCGTTTTTGCAAAATAATAGGTAAGGAGCTGTTCAGGGCACAAAAGCCTATTCCCCAGTTTAGTTGACACACTAGCTTCTGAGATCCAGCCCACAGATACACAGACACAGACACAGACACACACACACAGACACACACACAGACACACACAGACACAGACACACACACAGACACACACACAGACACACACACAGACACACACACACACAAAGTCTGGGTCCCACACTTTCATACATATCCCTGCTGCAATACGGACTGTAAGGTGTGGAGAATGAAAGCAAATGTTCTCAGGAAACAAAAGTGTTCCCAGCTCCTGTCCTGTGTATACTGTTTATCCGCCCTTGTGTGGTGTTATTGCAGAATACATGTGGTATGAAGTATAACCACTAGAGGGGCCTAATAATGTGAAATGAAGCCAGTCGCTACAGATTGACTGTCATTTCCCAGAATGTCAACACCTGGAATATGGGAACATCCTTATTTGTGTCTGTGTGTATTTGCAGTCAGGATTAAAACTGGTCTTGGAGACATGTTCCACCCTCATGTTAAAAATAATATGTCTGTAAATTCACGATTAGCTCCCGCTGTATTGGAACCGTATCCTCATTACTGCCACAGGGTAATTTGGTTAATCCCAGTCATGTGTTGAAGTCTGCCTTCCCTTCTTCTGCCTAGCCAGTCTGAGCTCAGAGGATAAGACTCTGATTTCTGGGTGGTGGCAAGCCCTGGGGCTCCTCTACATTCGTCTATTTGTGCTGCATCGGGGAATTCATTCTCCTGGGCTGACGTTCATGGCTGTATGTCGGTAGAGAGGGACCGGACTTCTCAGCATGGGTCATGCCTCACCTGTGTAAATAAGCTCCCACCATCTCCAGCCGGCATGGCCCATAGTTCACAGTGGCTTGTGGGGGGGGGGGGGGGAGACAGGACCTGTAGCCCAGGAGATGGATCTTCAGGGCACCAGGCGAGAGGAGTGGATAGAAAGCATAACATTAGGAGAGTACAGCATTCCGAGAATGTTACTCTTAAGAATTCAGCCACACAACCGCCTTCCTTGTGACTAAAAGTGCAAGAAGGGAGGAGGAAGGCTTGTCAAGATGCCAATATGGGAGAGGTTGTGTGCCATGTTCATTTTCCTGTTGCATGAATCTTCAGGGACTGTCTACACCACCAGTAGTGAGGATGGAAGGGGGGCTGGCTTTGTTGCAGAAAGCCTGCAGCTGGGAGAGATCAATTTTTCACTCATCCAGTGGGCAGGATGAACCCATTCCAAGCGAGAGGGAGCGCCTGGTTCCTTTTAAGAGCTCCAAGGGAGGCAGAAGGTACCTGGTCTTGGTTCTTTAGCAGCTGAGAGAGGAAAGGAGAGGGAGAGAGAGGCAGGGAGGCAGGCAACAGTAGTGAAGTCTAAATACTGCAAATATTGTTTTTAAACAAAGGGAAAGCACTGTGTGAGAAACTCTGCCTGTAGGGTAGGGATGTGGAAAGGGGGGGGGCTTCCAGGTGTTGCTCAAGTTGGACTGCTCCCTGCTGGCCACTTTGACGAAGGATGAGGGGACAGTACAACACCCATCTGGAAGGGATGTCTTAAACGGGCAAGAAGAGTTGGGGGACTCACTGGTCCAAACCTAAGGATGGAGAAGGATGCTGATTTGAGAATAAAGAAACACCTTTTCTGGGCTGCTTTTGTCTAGATGCTAAGACTGCTTTCGCTAGGTAGATGAAGCAAATGGCACTTTAGTCTGAGTAGGAAGGAGGATAAAATTCGGGCTGCAGGGACGCCGTTGAGATGAAACTATTTCTAATCCAGGCTGACATCTCCAGTCCAGAGAGCAGCATCTCTCCTTCTGCTGTGTGGGATAACGGGGATGGAAAAGCAGGGTTCCCAAGTTGCTTCCTGTGGTGTATCTCTCTACAGTACTTTGTGACATAACGTTGCAGGGAGATATCTGAGTTGCAGTCTGGCCACCCTAATGAGATGTTGAATTGTTGGGTTGTTGTCTGGAGCACAGTGTCAATATAAAGAATCCAGATGCGAAGGCAAGGGAATGTTTGAGATAGCGCTCGGATCCGTTTCTGCCGCTTCTGTTGCACAGGAGGGCCACCAACCTGCACAGCTTTAAAAGGAGGTTAGACAAATTAATAAAGGATATATGGGTAGGCAACGAGGGGATTGTAATTGTGACACTAGGCTACATGCTGCCAGCTGGATCAATGGGAGCATGCCTCTGAATATCATCTGCTGGGAAAACACAAATGGGAGGATGCTTTTGCACTCACACCCTGTTCAGGGGCTTCCCAGAGGCTACTGGCTGGCTAGTGTGAGAAGAGAATGCTAGCTTGGATGGGTTTTTTTTTTGTTCCAGGAGGGCTCTTCTCATAGCTAAAGAGTGTATTAGCCACCTGAGTTCTGAATTGCCCACTGGCTGGCTGATGGTGTTAATTTTTGAGCAGTGATAATACATTTGGACCATGATGATTAGATAAGCTCCGACCTAAACATTCTCAGCCATATATTTTAGCACCTTGACCTAGGTGGACAAGTGTGGGTTTCTTTGCTCTTATAGTGTCTTGGTTTTAGGGCCTGGACAAACCAAGACGGTCTACCCACAGCTGTTTCATTCCTCTTTCTTTATCTACCTTGCCAGCTGTTTCTGTACAGCTGCTGCACTGTGTGTTGGTATTTCAAAGGGAAAACAAAACACAAGCTAATAAATTTTCTAAACCTTTTTGGCCTGTTATTTAAGAAATTATTTCAACCACATAGTGCAATATTTTACTAAAGGGGCCACCATATCTGTTTTGTCTTTGTAACAGGACCTGTCAGGAATGTATCTACCCTGTTTCCCTGAAAATGAGACCTAACCTGAAAATAAACCCTAGTGTGATTTTTCAGGATGTTCGTAATATAAGCCCTACCCCAAAAATAAGCCCTAATTGAGTGAAATCCAACCCTCCACCATTGTGCATCAACCAGAAGAAGATGACATGACTGCATTTGAATAAATGTAAATTGTTGTACATGGAAAAAATAAAACACCCCCTGAGAATAAGCCCTAATGCATCTTTTGGAGCAAAAATTAATACAAGACTCTCCAGAAACAGGGTAGCTGGCGTTAGTAATGTTATTGAAGGCAACCAGGGCACCTGTGCTTAAAAGGCTACTCGGCTAACATTTTTCTCTCCCCCTATTCCATTTCTTTACAACTCTTGTTACTAGAGGGTAGAAGACCAGAGCATTTGCCAACCTTAGTTAAAAGAAGTAATTGCTTAAATGCTTGCTGTTCATATTTCAAACCCACCAAAGTTATGGCACCACGAAGACTGCAGAAATTAAACAGAGTTTAGATGTAAAAAAATAATAGACTGAGCATCAGTAACTACCCGTGTGGCTGTCTGTCTGGCAGGGATGCTGGCAAGTCTTTGGGTCTGAGTTCCAAGCCTGAGTCCCTATTAAAAACAAGATTCCCCACCACCACCAACACCACCACCAAGAAGAAAAGGAGGGGCTGGGTGGGTTCCAAGTTGCAAGTTGAGTCTGAGTCATTGGAAAATAAAAACCCCTTCCAAGTCAAGTCACCGGTGCGACTTAAATCCAACTTGACAGTGAGTGACACGATTTGAGTCTCCTTCCCTGTTGGCTGGCTATCCCCCAACGGTAAGATGTGTTTTTTTAAAAAACCCAAGAAGAAAGGTTTCTACAACAACTGGCATCAGTCGTGATGGCTCCCAGTCTGACTGGACAAGCCCATGTGCTGACTGTGGGCCTGTTTTGCTGGAGCCCCCATTGTTTCCCACTCTCTGGGTAATCACCGAGCCTTTGACTGCAGGGCCATGGACTTGGGCCAGAAGGCCATTCCCTGGCGGCATCGATTTGTCCCCTGCGTGCTCCATCTCTTTAAGGTTTTGAGAGGTTCTGTGTAAGTAATGCTCCAGTTAATTTTCTTCTGAATCAACAAGCACAGGAGACTCATCACGTATGAGCTACAATATTACATAGAAATGTACTAGCAGAGCCTAGTGAAAGCAAACACGTGCTGATACAGAAGGAACAGCAGGGCGTGGGGACCCCACACAGGAAGAAATGGTCTCCTAAACCTCTTTCTTTGCCTTTAAAATTCAGACTACTTTCAGGGCTGGAGAAAGAATGAGAGAGCATGCAAGCTTCCTTTTGTTAAATCCCAGAAGGCACATCCAGAAATGACTTCCGGGCATTAGCAAGTGATCATCCTAAAAAGAAGGATGAAGTTCTGTCCAAAATTCTATGACTGCTAATTCCATATAGTATACAGTAATTTGAACTCTTTGGGATTAGGTTTACATCATTCGCGTCAGTGTTCAAGGACTTCCTGCTTAGGGACAGTGCCATGGACTGTAGTGGTTTCTGGGGTACAAGCAGTGATACCAAAATAGGAGATGCAACATTTAAGTGGTAGCAAGGTGAAATTCAGGTATAACAAACAAAACATAAGTCATATTACGTGGGGAAATGCCTATGTGTACATGTACTGGATGGGAGAGCTGTCTAGAAGCTAGTACAGTATTGTTGAGATTTTTCAAAATAAAAGGTTGTTCCTTTGAAGAAAATAGTTTTAAAGCACAGCCCATAATGTCCAAGGTTTTAAAATGCCTTGGTTTGGTAAGCACTGAGAATAACATTTCTTCTTCGTGATCTCTGTGAATGCACACTAATGGGTTAATCTGCACCTGCGCAGAGCAACCTCGGAACTTTCCAGAGCTGGAGCACATGGTGCCAGGACCTCCCTCACACTGGCTATAACCCCGACCCTGGCACCAAGTGCCTCAGTTCCTTTTTTGCTGCTGCCACTGCAGCAGCTTCTTCTAGGAAGTTCTGTGCATTTGCAAACTTCTTGCCTTACCTTCTCTTTGACCTCCCTGGCTTCGTTTTGGACGATCAACCATTCTTCTTTTCCTAAAAGAATAAAAATGGATTGTTAGTTGTATTAACCGGTTACGGAGTTTATGGCCTCGCCGGGCCTCTTCAAGAGGTGCGAGGTCTGCTCCAACAAGATTCCCCTCTCTGATGGGCATTCCCGGTGCGTATTTTGTCTCGGAGAAGAACACCAACCCACCGACCTTATGTGCTTTTTGTAAAAGCTTTACCAAGCCAGCCCTGAAACTGAGGCTTGAACGCCTGCA